GTCGTACCTAATAGCCAGAATGCACTTCTCAGCCTACTATGCAAGGCCTGATTTGCCTAATAAGCCAAGTTTTCATGAATTAATGTTTTTTCGACTACCTAACCTACCTAACCTAACCTAACCTAACCTAACTTTTTCTGCTACCTAACCGAACCTAACCTATAAAGATAGGTTAGGTTAGGTTTGGTCATATATCTACGTTAATTTTAACTAAAATAAAAAAAAATTGACCTCATACATAATGAAATGGATAGCTTTATCATTTCATAAGAAAAAAATTAGAAAAAATATATTATTTCAAGAAAACTTGGCTTATTAGGCAAATCAGGCCTTGCATAGTAGGCTGAAAAGTGCATTCTGGCTACTAGGTACGACATATATATATATATATATATATATATATATATATATATATATATATATATATATATATATATATATATATATATATGTATGTATATATGTATATATATATGTATGTATATATATATATATATATATATATATATATATATATATATATATATATATATATATATATATATATATATATATATATATATATATATATATATATATATATATATATATATATATATATATATATATATATATATATATATATATATATATATATATATATATAGGGAAGGGAGTACCACCTCTGGCTGGAAGAAAGGAACCCTTAGCCTCGGAGGAAACCACACATAACGCAGTAGAGGGGAATGTTTAGATCCCCTCCAATACAGTTTCTGTGTGCTTTTCTCCTAATATATATAGAGTCTAACAGAAGGATACTTCTAGCCATTTGAGTACAGGAACAAAGATTAAAATCGGTGAACGTAGCCTCATGTTCAAGAGTATTAGAGCAGAGAATTGTTGTCATTTCTCCCACGTGGGGGCTCTGGTGAGAACCCGGATGATCACAGTAGTTGGATGACCAGGTGTCCGAAGTAGACAACTGCTACTCCTTGATAACTGCCGCTCTACCTCCCGCTCTCTGGGGACAGGTACTGCGAGGTCCCTGTGTGTTCTGGGGCTGGTGTACACGGGTAAAGCGACGACTTCATTTCGAGGGAAAGTAAGTACAGAGTTCGACAAAAAGGAGAGCAGTGACGGGGTGTCACTGGTGGAGCTCGACGAGGCTCTGCACTGTGTCTTCCACTGTGACACTACTTACTGGTAGGATGAACAGTTGCATTAGGTTAGGGGAAATATCCAAAACCATTTCTGTCCCGACCCCGGATTTGTCGATTGTGCGTCGAGAAAGAACCCGACTATACTACCGGGATCCCATAAGTACAATCAGGATAATTTACTTCTGTCAATATAGAATTGTGTGTATTGACAATGTGTATCAACTTCTATCAATATTTTTACCACAAATACTATCAAATCAGGTCATTCTCCCAAGTCTTTGAGTTTTAAATTTTATGTCACAGTTCATCAGCGGCGGTGTGAGAGGCACCTCATGTGTGTGGAGACTGTAACATGTGCCAGGGTATTACCTCCCTCCTTCATCAGCGGCGGTGTGAGAGGTACCTCATGTGTGTGGAGACTGTAAACATGTGCCAGGGTATTACCTCCCTCCTTCATCAGCGGCGGTGTGAGAGGTACCTCATGTGTGTGGAGACTAAACATGTGCCTGGGTATTACCTCCCTCCTTCATCAAGAGAGATTTCCTTTTACTTTCATTAGAAACACGAAGAAATATGATTTTAATATAAGGTAGATGAAAGGGAAGAAAATGGGGAAACTCAAGACCGAACACTAAACAATGGTAAACAGAGATAAGTTTAGATAAAAAAAAAAATTAAATATAGTTGTGGATTAATAAACAGGTTGATGAGTGACATATTTAGCATATACATAAGTCGAAGTGGGTAGGTGTTGAGAGGGCTGTCTCTATACATAAGTGGAAGTGGGTAGGTGTTGAGAGGGCTGTCTCTATACATGAGTGGGAGTGGGTGGGTGTTGAGAGGGCTGTCTCTATACATGAGTGGGAGTGGGTAGGTGTTGAGAGGGCTGTCTCTATACATGAGTGGGAGTGGGTGGGTGTTGAGAGGGCTGTCTCTATACATGAGTGGGAGTGTGTGGGTGTTGAGAGGGCTGTCTCTATACATAAGTGGAAGTGGGTAGGTGTTGAGAGGGCTGTCTCTATACATAAGTGGAAGTGGGTAGGTGTTGAGAGGGCTGTCTCTATACATGAGTGGGAGTGGGTGGGTGTTGAGAGGGCTGTCTCTATACATGAGTGGGAGTGAGTGGGTGTTGAGAGGGCTGTCTCTATACATGAGTGGGAGTGAGTGGGTGTTGAGAGGGCTGTCTCTATACATGAGTGGGAGTGGGTGGGTGTTGAGAGGGCTGTCTCTATACATGAGTGGGAGTGAGTGGGTGTTGAGAGGGCTGTCTCTATACATGAGTGGGAGTGAGTAGGTGTTGAGAGGGCTGTCTCTATACATGAGTGGGAGTGGGTGGGTGTTGAGAGGGCTGTCTCTATACATGAGTGGGAGTGAGTGGGTGTTGAGAGGGCTGTCTCTATACATGAGTGGGAGTGTGTGGGTGTTGAGAGGGCTGTCTCTATACATGAGTGGGAGTGTGTGGGTGTTGAGAGGGCTGTCTCTATACATGAGTGGGAGTGTGTGGGTGTTGAGAGGGCTGTCTCTATACATGAGTGGGAGTGGGTGGGTGTTGAGAGGGCTGTCTCTATACATGAGTGGGAGTGGGTGGGTGTTGAGAGGGCTGTCTCTATACATAAGTGGGAGTGGGTGGGTGTTGAGAGGGCTGTCTCTATACATAAGTGGGAGTGGGTGGGTGTTGAGAGGGCTGTCTCTATACATGAGTGGGAATGGGTGGGTGTTGAGAGGGCTGTCTCTATACATGAGTGGGAGTGGGTGGGTGTTGAGAGGGCTGTCTCTATACATGAGTGGGAATGGGTGGGTGTTGAGAGGGCTGTCTCTATACATGAGTGGGAGTGGGTGGGTGTTGCGAGGGCTGTCTCTATACATGAGTGGGAGTGTGTGGGTGTTGAGAGGGCTGTCTCTATACATGAGTGGGAGTGGGTGGGTGTTGAGAGGGCTGTCTCTATACATGAGTTTGAGTGTGTGGGTGTTGAGAGGGCTGTCTCTATACATGAGTGGGAGTGGGTAGGTGTTGAGAGGGCTGTCTCTATACATAAGTGGAAGTGGATAGGTATTGAGAGGGCTGTCTCTATACATGAGTGGGAGTGGGTGGGTGTTGAGAGGGCTGTCTCTATACATGAGTGGGAATGGGTGGGTGTTGAGAGGGCTGTCTCTATGCATGAGTGGGAGTGAGTGGGTGTTGAGAGGGCTGTCTCTATACATGAGTGGGAGTGGGTGGGTGTTGAGAGGGCTGTCTCTATACATGAGTGGGAGTGGGTGGGTGTTGAGAGGGCTCTCTCTATACATGAGTGGGAGTGGGTGGGTGTTGAGAGGGCTGTCTCTATACATGAGTGGGAGTGTGTGCGGGTTGAGAGGGCTGTCTCTATACATGAGTGGGAGTGTGTGGGTGTTGAGAGGGCTGTCTCTATACATGAGTGGGAGTGAGTGGGTGTTGAGAGGGCTGTCTCTATACATGAGTGGGAGTGAGTGGGTGTTGAGAGGGCTGTCTCTATACATGAGTGGGAGTGAGTGGGTGTTGAGAGGGCTGTCTCTATACATGAGTGGGAGTGAGTGGGTGTTGAGAGGGCTGTCTCTATACATGAGTGGGAGTGTGTGGGTGTTGAGAGGGCTGTCTCTATACATGAGTGGGAGTGTGTGGGTGTTGAGAGGGCTGTCTCTATACATGAGTGGGAGTGTGTGGGTGTTGAGAGGGCTGTCTCTATACATGAGTGGGAGTGGGTGGGTGTTGAGAGGGCTGTCTCTATACATGAGTGGGAGTGGGTGGGTGTTGAGAGGGCTGTCTCTATACATGAGTGGGAGTGAGTGGGTGTTGAGAGGGCTGTCTCTATACATGAGTGGGAGTGAGTGGGTGTTGAGAGGGCTGTCTCTATACATGAGTGGGTGTTGAGAGGGCTGTCTCTATACATGAGTGGGAGTGTGTGGGTGTTGAGAGGGCTGTCTCTATACATGAGTGGGAGTGTGTGGGTGTTGAGAGGGCTGTCTCTATACATGAGTGGGAGTGAGTGGGTGTTGAGAGGGCTGTCTCTATACATGAGTGGGAGTGAGTGGGTGTTGAGAGGGCTGTCTCTATACATGAGTGGGAGTGAGTGGGTGTTGAGAGGGCTGTCTCTATACATGAGTGGGAGTGTGTGGGTGTTTTGAGGGCTGTCTCTATACATGAGTGGGAGTGTGTGGGTGTTGAGAGGGCTGTCTCTATACATGAGTGGGAGTGTGTGGGTGTTGAGAGGGCTGTCTCTATACATGAGTGGGAGTGGGTGGGTGTTGAGAGGGCTGTCTCTATACATGAGTGGGAGTGGGTGGGTGTTGAGAGGGCTGTCTCTATACATGAGTGGGAGTGAGTGGGTGTTGAGAGGGCTGTCTCTATACATGAGTGGGAGTGAGTGGGTGTTGAGAGGGCTGTCTCTATACATGAGTGGGAGTGAGTGGGTGTTGAGAGGGCTGTCTCTATACATGAGTGGGAGTGTGTGGGTGTTGAGAGGGCTGTCTCTATACATGAGTGGGAGTGTGTGGGTGTTGAGAGGGCTGTCTCTATACATGAGTGGGAGTGTGTGGGTGTTGAGAGGGCTGTCTCAATACATGAGTGGGAGTGGGTGGGTGTTGAGAGGGCTGTCTCTATACATGAGTGGGAGTGGGTGGGTGTTGAGAGGGCTGTCTCTATACATGAGTGGGAGTGGGTGGGTGTTGAGAGGGCTGTCTCTATACATGAGTGGGAGTGGGTGGGTGTTGAGAGGGCTGTCTCTATACATGAGTGGGAGTGGGTGGGTGTTGAGAGGGCTGTCTCTATACATGAGTGGGAGTGGGTGGGTGTTAAGAGGGATGCCTTTAGTCTTATGGTTAATATTATTATGAATAAAATCTTACTGTGCCATTAGTGTTGGCGAGGCAGGTGGCGTAGATGTCTTCGATGTGGTGGCAGAAGCCGCGAAAGTCTGGGATGACGAAGGACGAGGAGAGCGCCTTCACTACCACCTCCAGGTTATCAGAGATGATACTGTCGGGAGAAGAGATTGATGAGGCAAGCTAATTAAGGATCCCCAGCACGTGGGTTGTGTTGAGGCTGTACAGTAGGTACTGTACTTGACTGTAAACCCATTCTTTGACTTCGGGCGTGAACAGTGTGTATTCACCTAGTTGTATTCTCCTAGTTGTGCTTGTAGGGGTTGAGCTCTGCTCTTTCGACCCGCCTCTCAACTGTCAATCAACTGTTACTAACTATTAAAAAAAATATGTGTGTGTGTACCTACCTAGTTGTACTTACCTAGTTGTGCTTGCGGAGGGTAAGCTCCTGCTTTTTGGTCCAACCTCTCAACTGGTAATCAACTGATGTTCAGGTTCCTAAGCCTATTGGGCTCAATTATATCTACACTTGAAACTGTGTATGAAGTCTGCTTCCACCACGTCACTTCCTAAAGTGACGTAATTATTGACATTTGTCAATAATGCTGACACTAAAAAAAATTCTAATATCTCCATTGTTCATTTGGGCACCCAGTTTCCACCTGTGTTCCTTATCGCGCGTGGCCCTTGTGTTAATAGTCCGTCTTTATCTACCCTATCAATTCCTTAGAACATTGGGAAGTCCCTGGGAAGTCCCTGGGGGAGTCCTTGGTGAGTCCCTGGAGAGTCCCTGGGGAGTCCTTAGTGAGTCCCTAGGGAGTTTTTTGGGAGTCCCAGGGGAGTCCCTGTGGGGTCCCTGGGGAGTCCCTGTGGTGTCCCTGGGGAGTCCCTGGGGAGTCTCTATGGAGTTCCTGAAGAGTCTCTTGGAAGTCCGTGGGGAGTACCGGATGAGTCCGTGGTGAGTTCCTGGGGAGTCCCTGGGGACCCCCTGGGGAGTCCTTCAGGAGTCCGTAGGGGAGTCCTTCTGGAGTTCCTGAGGGCGTCCCTGGGAAGTCCCTTGTAAGCATAATAACAACGACGTCTAATGATGGAGGCCAAGTGAGGCGTTCTGCCAGATTTATAAACGCAAGCTCAAAGACTCTTGTTCAGAAGAGTGTATACAACACCTTGAGAAAGGATGTAGATTACATCCAAAAATGTTATTTTTAATACACTTACACATATATTGGGTCTTTCCTTCACCATCTTGTGTATAATGTTAAAGGAAACAGGAGAACTACAAGAAAGTTGAAAACCAATATTCAAGAAATGAAATATTCAGGAGGCACAAAGCTACAGTCTAGTGCCCTTAGCTTGCTAACCATGCAACGTGTTGCAGGAGAGGGCAAGGAAGAGACTAGTAGCACCTCTGGAGAGAAGAGACGACAAACTCCGCCACCATTGGTTCAGGGATGGTGATCCTTGCTCGCCAGGCAACCAACCGAAATCCGATAAATTGAGAGGAATGGGCATGTTTATGGATTGTGAGAAAAACTGACACGTACCCCACAGGTGCCCAGTGCACAGGTTGGAGCAGCAAGCAAGAGTGACAAGATAGATGCTGTAGTGGGCACGGGAGTATCCAAGCAACAGTATGAGGACTGATGTCAGGGTGACAAGAGGCTACCAACTGATCCTCTTCCTGTAACCCATCTTCTTGTTTAGATAGTACTTTTTGTAACTATGTGGACCATCGTACATACATTGACGTAATGGACAAATTAAATAGTACAATTTGTTACTTTTCACTTTATAGAGTCCGGAAAAATGAAGCTAAATCTAAGCTTAAATATTCCTGTGCACATATATGTACTATATTAGGCTTCAGAAAGTGTGTATTAGGTTTAGAATCATTAGGTTAGGTTTTAGTAGCATCATATTAAATACAAAACCTTTTCCGGTTTGTCCAAATCCAATAGTACCAATTTCCACCTTCTAATTGTCCATTACCTCAATATATGTACGATGATCCACATTGTTACTATCAGTACAATCTAAACATGAGAATGGGCTGGTTTCAGATATAAGTAAATGATCTTCCAATTTATATAAATTTATTCCACTCTATGTGTGGCTATGATGCAAAACTTTTAAAGACAAATGACTGGAATAAGGAAGCACACAAACTTAAAGATGGACTATAATATTACTTAAGCCAGAGTAAAGTAATGAAACTTGATGCTGGACACAGGAGGCCGGACACAAGGCTGGACACAGGAGGCCGGACACAAGGCTGGACACAGGAGGCCGGACACAAGGCCGGTCAATATTACACCCAACCTGTCTCCAGAAACGCACATAAATTGGATATTATCAGCAGTATATGTTTGTTGGCAAAAATAAGAGCTGCTTTTAGAAATCAAAATAAGAACTCATTCAGAAACTAATATTGCACATATATTAAGCCAATATTGGAATGTGCGGTGTCTGCATGGAGCTTTTATCTTGTCAAACACGAGTGAAGTTGAAGAAGGTTCAATGGTAGGCTAGCAGACTAGTTCCAGAACTAGTCATTTGAGTTGCGAAGAAATATTAAAGGAACTAAACTTTACATCACTAGACAGAATAAGTCAGAAGAGACATGATTACCACATATATAATTATTTGGGAAATTTATTTGGTATCCAGGGGAAAAATCATTCTGGCAGACGAGCTTAGGGAACAGGTGGAAACTGAGACTCAAATGTGCCTCAGAATCATAAATAATTAATTTAGTGTCAGTGAATAAATGAAGTGCAGCATGAAGGCAGGCTCCATATACCATAACATATTACACCCATAAGATTGATGTATAGATAAGTGCCTAATAAGCGGGAGCCTCAATACACCAGCTGGTTAACAACTGAGACACGAGACCAAAGGAATGAAATTCACTCCCTGCCAAGACAATTCGGAAAACAAAATGACTAAGTACTCCCTCCATCTCTCTCTCTCTCTCTCTCTCTCTCTCTCTCTCTCTCTCTCTCTCTCTCTCTCTCTCTCTCTCTCTCTCTCTCTCTCTCTCTCTCTCTCTCTCTCTCTCTCTCTCTCTCTCTCTCTCTCTCTCTCTCTCTCTCTCTCTCTCTCTCTCTCTCTCTCTCTCTCTCTCTCTCTCTCTCTCTCTCTCTCTCTCTCGCTCTCGCTCTCGCTCTCGCTCTCTCTCTCTCTCTCTCTCTCTCTCTCTCTCTCTCTCTCTCTCTCTCTCTCTCTCTCTCTCTCTCTCTCTCTCTCTCTCTCTCATTCTCTCTCTCTCTCTCTCTCTCTCTCTCTCTCTCTCTCTCTCTCTCTCTCTCTCTCTCTCTCTCTCTCTCTCTCTCTCTCTCTCTCTCTCTCTCGCTCTCGCTCTCGCTCTCTCGCTCTCGCTCTCTCGCTCTCGCTCTCTCGCTCTCTCGCTCTCGCTCTCTCGCTCTCGCTCTCTCGCTCTCGCTCTCTCGCTCTCTCGCTCTCGCTCTCTCGCTCTCGCTCTCGCTCTCTCTCTCTCTCTCTCTCTCTCTCTCTCTCTCTCTCTCTCTCTCTCTCTCTCTCTCTCTCTCTCTCTCTCTCTCTCTCTCTCTCTCTCTCTCTCCCTATGCAGCGCCTCTTCCCTCTCCATACCTCATGAAGGTGTCATAGCTGACGTTGAGCGCCTGGAGGTCCGACTCAGCAATCCGCTGCTGGAACTTCTTCAGGTTTTCCCGCATCTCCTTCAGGCGGGGATCAGTGTGGCGCATCCCTGTCGCTGTCAGCCCCTGCGGCAGGCAATACAACTTTACACACCCTTATTTCTTCATTATAATTACAAAACTAATCTAATGAAGAATATGAGACGGAAAAAGATGGATAGGTGTTGAACAGACGATATATACAGACATCACACTGGGTTAGTGTAGAGAACGATGTGATATACGGACACCACATAGGGTTAGTGTAGAGAACGATGTGATATACGGACACCATATAGGGTTAGTGTAGAGAACGATGTGATATACGGACACCACATAGGGTTAGTGTAGAGAACGATGTGATATACGGACACCACATAGGGTTAGTGTAGAGAACGATGTGATATGCGGACACCATATAGGGTTAGTGTAGAGAACGATGTGATATACGGACACCATATAGGGTTAGTGTAGAGAACGATGTGATATACGGACACCATATAGGGTTAGTGTAGAGAACGAGGGTATATACGTGTACTTAAGTATATACCTACGTATATACTTAAGTACACTGGGTGAAGGTACAGTTTTGTTTACCACCTTTTCCTTTCATTCCTTTCACTATTTATTATACTAGTTCAATTACTGTCAGTTCTGGATAACTTACCAATGACTGGCGGAGGGATCGACTAGGAAGAGGCACTAAGGCCCAGTACAGTGTTAGAAATATGAACCCAGTTACTGGCTAAGTGAGACCGTAACAAAGTGCCATATGTGTCACAAATACCACAACCCATGCACACCCCAGTAACCTCCGACCCATGCACACCCCAGTAACCTCCGACCCATGCACACCCCAGTAACCTCCGACCCATGCACACCCCAGTAACCTCCGTCCCATGCACACCCCAGTAACCTCCGACCCATGCACACCCCAGTAACCTCCGACCCATGCACACCCCAGTAACCTCCGTCCCATGCACACCCCAGTAACCTCCGACCCATGCACACCCCAGTAACCTCCGACCCATGCACACCCCAGTAACCTCCGACCCATGCACACCCCAGTAACCTCCGACCCATGCATAACCCAGTAACCTCCGACCCATGCACACCTCAGTAACCTCCGACCCATGCACACCCCAGTAACCTCCGACCCATGCACACCCCAGTAACCTCCGACCCATGCACACCCCAGTAACCTCCGACCCATGCACACCCCAGTAACCTCCGGACCCATGCACACCCCAGTAACCTCCGACCCATGCACACCCCAGTAACCTCCGACCCATGCACACCCCAGTAACCTCCGACCCATGCACACCCCAGTAACCTCCGACCCATGCACACCCCAGTAACCTCCGACCCATGCACACCCCAGTAACCTGCGACCCATGCACACCCCAGTAACCTCCGACCCATGCATAACCCAGTAACCTCCGACCCATGCACACCCCAGTAACCTCCGACCCATGTACACCCCAGTAACCTCCGACCCATGCACACCCCAGTAACCTCCGACCCATGCACACCCCAGTAACCTCCGACCCATGCACACCCCAGTAACCTCCGACCCATGCACACCCCAGTAACCTCCGACCCATGCACACCCCAGTAACCTCCGACCCATGCACACCCCAGTAACCTCCGACCCATGCACACCCCAGTAACCTCCGACCCATGCACACCCCAGTAACCTCCGACCCATGCACACCCCAGTAACCTCCGACACATGCATAACCCAGTAACCTCCGACCCATGCATAACCCAGTAACCTCCGACCCATGCATAACCCAGTAACCTCCGACCCATGCATAACCCAGTAACCTCCGACCCATGCATAACCCAGTAACCTCCGACCCATGCATAACCCAAGTAACCTCCGACCCATGCATAACCCAGTAACCTCCGACCCATGCATAACCCAAGTAACCTCCGACCCATGCATAACCCAGTAACCTCCGACCCATGCATAACCCAAGTAATCTCCGACCCATGCATAACCAAAATAACCTCTGACCCATGCATAACCTAAGTAACCTCCGACCCATGCATAACCCAAGTAACCTCCAACCCATGCATAACCCAAGTAACCTCCAACCAATGCATAACCCAGTAACCTCCGACCCATGCATAACCCAAGTAACCTCCGACCCATGCATAACCCAGTAACCTCCGACCCATGCATAACCCAAGTAACCTCCGACCCATGCATAACCAAAATAACCTCTGACCCATGCATAACCTAAGTAACCTCCGACCCATGCATGACCAAAGTAACCTCAGACCCATACATAAGCAAAGTAACCTCAGACCCATACATAAGCAAAGTAACCTCAGACCCATACATAAGCAAAGTAACCTCCGACCCATGCATAACCCAAGTAACCTCCGACCCATGCATAACCAAAATAACCTCTGACCCATGCATAACCTAAGTAACCTCCGACCCATGCATAACCAAAGTAACCTCTGACCCATGCATAACCAAAGTAACCTCCGACCCTTGTATAACCAAAGTATCTCCGACCCATGCATAACCAAAATAACCTCTGACCCATGCATAACCTAAGTAACCTCCGACCCATGCATAACCAAAGTAACCTCAGACCCATACATAAGCAAAGTAACCTCAGACCCATACATAAGCAAAGTAACCTCCGACCCATGCATAACCTAAGTAACCTCCGACCCATGCATAACCAAAGTAACCTCTGACCCATGCATAACCAAAGTAACCTCCGACCCTTGTATAACCAAAGTAATCTCCGACCCATGCATAACCAAAGTAACCTCAGACCCATACATAACCCAAGTAACCTCCGACCCATGCATAACCAAAGTAACCTCAGACCCATACATAAGCAAAGTAACCTCCGACCCATGCATAACCTAAGTAACCTCCGACCCATGCATAACCTAAGTAACCTCCGACCTATGCATAACCTAAGTAACCTGCGACCCATGCATAACCAAAGTAACCTCCGACCCATGCATAACCTAAGTAACCTCCGACCCATGCATAACCTAAGTAACCTCCGACCCATGCATAACCAAAGTAACCTCCGACCCATGCATAACCTAAGTAACCTCCGACCCATGCATAACCAAAGTAACCTCCGACCCATGCATGACCAAAGTAACCTCAGACCCATACATAACTTGGTTTAAGTAAACTCAGGTTTTCCCAGTGCTATAGTTATCTTTCAGTCTTAATATAACTGTGTGCCCATATGAGGTAGATGGGCTGGTTATCGGAATAACAAAGCAAATATATTAACGAGAGCATTTCTAATTGTAATTAACTAATCCTAATTAACTAAATTGTAATTAACTAAACTAATGTAATTAAATTGTAAGTAACTAATTAGAAAAACGCATTTTATTGAAACTCTTACTATTAACTTAGAAAATTAATTATAAATCCACTCAATTACAAAGTTTATGCTTTTTAAAACGTAATCTGAGCAGCTAAAATTGAGTTTTTTAGTAACTGTTATATACTACGGACTATTCTTAGTAAATATTATTTACTAAGAACAGTTAGTAAATAATATTGACTAACCACAATTTAGGTAAAACAATGAAGATTAAATAATTTAATTTAATTAAAATAATTAATGAGTATATTATATTTTAATTAAATTGGTTATTACAACAATCGGCTCTATTTGAATTCTAACTAACAAAACCCCCCACTGTGGATATTGTGAGGAAGATTACCAATGGTATACAGTCAGCTAAAAATTGCACTAAATAATTAAATATAAAGTTTACTTAATTTAAAAACAAAAATATACCACATAACCTCACAACTTTTAGCCACTTCCCATGAGGAACAGTAGTAGTGTAAATGACGCCTACGACCAACCATTCCATGCCCACTACAACATTGCAAATGTTGCAAAGGTCATGCTCGTGCAAGATGACAATGATGCAAGGTCAGGATCTTGCAAGGAGTCATGTTGCAAGATCATGATTATTCAAGGGTTAAAAATAGACGTTGCAAGCGAAATGAAAAGGGAAAAATCAAAATAGATCATACAGTAAAAATGTCAGAAAGGATCGTTTATTGAAAGTAGATATAGCAGGGAGAAAGTTCCTTTTCGGGTATGAAGTTCCTTTCAGGTAGGAGGATCCTTTACAGGAAGGATTAATAAGAAAGTATATAGAGTATAGATAAGAGGAATAATGATAATAGTAAAAATAGTGAGACAGAGGGATAGATTATTTAGTATTGAAAGATGAATAGTTGTAGTTAGTAAACTTACAATAATAGTCTATTATTGTAGGTCTTTAGATAGTTTAAAAAGTTTCATAGTAAGTAAGTAAGAGAGAAAACAAAATACATTGTACATTTCATACAGACATCACAATAGCGTGATACATCAAATGAACATTTCCACAAGGGCCGTGACGAGTTCAAACCTACGTCTGGGATGATCCCAGACGTGCCTCACTCGATTGCGCCACGACATGGTCAAACGAATTGCAACCAGGAGTGCACTTGCTCCCACACGGATCCTGCAGCCTCTCCAAGACACAAACCGGGGTTTTACACAATTGCCCCATGCTTTCGGGCTCTATGTGTATTGAAGTAAGGGCGAAGAGGTAGAACATCAGGTTGACAGACCCCCGAGTGCAAGGTATTCATCTTTCAATACTATATAAGCTATCCCTCTATCTCGTTATTTTTACTATTATTATTATTATTATTCCTCTTATCTTTACTATATACATTCTGATCTTTAATACCTGAAAAGGATCCTCCTACCCAACAGGAACCTCATTCCCAAAAAGGAACCACCTACCTGCTATATCTACAGTCACCGAACATTCCTTTCTAACATTTTTACTGTACAATTAAATTTGATACTTTTATGATCTACTTTTATTTTTCCATTTTCATGTCGCTCACTTACAACTTGTATTTTTAACCCTTATACAATCATGATCTTGCAACATGACCCCCTTGCAAGAAGAGTGACCACTCATAATGAGGAACAGTGACCCACTCATAATGAGGAACAGTGACCCACTCACCATGAGGAACAGTGACCCACTCATAATGAGGAACAGTGACCCACTCATAATGAGGAACAGTGACCCACTCATAATGAGGAACAGTGACCCACTCACCATGAGGAACAGTGACCCACTCACCATGAGGAACAGTGACCCACTCATAATGAGGAACAGTGACCCACTCATAATGAGGAACAGTGACCCACTCATAATGAGGAACAGTGACCCACTCATAATGAGGAACAGTGACCCACTCATAATGAGGAACAGTGACCCACTCACCATGAGGAACAGTGACCCACTCATAATGAGGAACAGTGACCCACTCATAATGAGGAACAGTGACCCACTCATAATGAGGAACAGTGACCCACTCATAATGAGGAACAGTGACCCACTCATAATGAGGAACAGTGACCCACTCATAATGAGGAACAGTGACCCACTCACCATGAGGAACAGTGACCCACTCATAATGAGGAACAGTGACCCACTCATAATGAGGAACAGTGACCCACTCATAATGAGGAACAGTGACCCACTCATAATGAGGAACAGTGACCCACTCACCATGAGGAACAGTGACCCACTCATAATGAGGAACAGTGACCCACTCATAATGAGGAACAGTGACCCACTCATAATGAGGAACAGTGACCCACTCACCATGAGGAACAGTGACCCACTCACCATGAGGAACAGTGACCCACTCATAATGAGGAACAGTGACCCACTCATAATGAGGAACAGTGACCCACTCATAATGAGGAACAGTGACCCACTCATAATGAGGAACAGTGACCCAATCATAATGAGAAACAGTGACCCACTCGTAATGAGGAACAGTGACCCACTCATAATGAGGAACAGTGACCCACTCATAATGAGGAACAGTGACCCACTCATAATGAGGAACAGTGACCCACTCGTAATGAGGAACAGTGACCCACTCGTAATGAGGAACAGTGACCCACTCATAATGAGGAACAGTGACCCACTCATAATGAGGAACAGTGACCCACTCATAATGAGGAACAGTGACCCACTCACCATGAAGAACAGTGACCCACTCATAATGAGGAACAGTGACCCACTCATAATGAGGAACAGTGACCCACTCATAATGAGGAACAGTGACCCACTCGTAATGAGGAACAGTGACCCACTCATAATGAGGAACAGTGATCCACTCATAATGAGGAACATTGACCCACTCATAATGAGGAACAGTGACCCACTCATAATGAGGAACAGTGACCCACTCGTAATGAGGAACAGTGACCCACTCATAATGAGGAACAGTGACCCACTCATAATGAGGAACAGTGACCCACTCATAATGAGGAACAGTGACCCACTCATAATGAGGAACAGTGACCCACTCATAATGAGGAACAGTGACCCACTCGTAATGAGGAACAGTGACCCACTCACCATGAGGAACAGTGACCCACTCATAATGAGGAACAGTGACCCACTCATAATGAGGAACAGTGACCCACTCATAATGAGGAACAGTGACCCACTCATAATGAGGAACAGTGACCCACTCATAATGAGAAACAGTGACCCACTCGTAATGAGGAACAGTGACCCACTCATAATGAGGAACAGTGACCCACTCATAATGAGGAACAGTGACCCACTCATAATGAGGAACAGTGACCCACTCGTAATGAGGAACAGTGACCCACTCGTAATGAGGAACAGTGACCCACTCATAATGAGGAACAGTGACCCACTCATAATGAGGAACAGTGACCCACTCATAATGAGGAACAGTGACCCACTCACCATGAAGAACAGTGACCCACTCATAATGAGGAACAGTGACCCATTCATAATGAGGAACAGTGACCCACTCATAATGAGGAACAGTGACCCACTCGTAATGAAGAACAGTGACCCACTCATAATGAGGAACAGTGATCCACTCATAATGAGGAACATTGACCCACTCATAATGAGGAACAGTGACCCACTCATAATGAGGAACAGTGACCCACTCGTAATGAGGAACAGTGACCCACTCATAATGAGGAACATTGACCCACTCATAATGAGGAACAGTGACCCACTCATAATGAGGAACAGTGACCCACTCATAATGAGGAACAGTGACCCACTCACCATGAGGAACAGTGACCCACTCACCATGAGGAACAGTGACCCACTCATAATGAGGAACAGTGACCCACTCACCATGAGGAACAGTGACCCACTCACCATGAGGAACTTGCTAATATTAATAGTGTTCTTGTCCTTGTCGCCGAACATCTCGAAGAGGCGGTTCTCCACGTGGACGAGGTGTTGCCGCACCAAGCTGTCAACAAAACAACGTCGACTTAGCTTCTCTTCACCTCCCGCGCTCCCGACCTCAACCCAGATGTAACATTTATGTCTCAGACAAATTTTATTTATATGTGCTTTTATTTCGCTTAATTGTCTTGTTTACATACTAGGTTGGAAGGCAGCGCAGGTAACACACATGTAAAATATTTACAAAGTTTAGGAGACACACAACTTTATATAATAAATGCTAGAAGCTGTGTGTTGCTGCAACACACATTTTATTTGTTTTAGTCATTTGTGGTATGTTTAGAAGTGTACAGTCATTTGTGGTATGTTTAGAAGTGTACAGTCATTTGTGGTATGTTTAGAAGTGTACAGTCATTTGTGGTATGTTTAGAAGTGTACAGTCATTTGTGGTATGTTTAGAAGGGTACAGCCATTTGTGGTATGTTTAGAAGTGTACAGCCATTTGTGGTATGTTTAGAAGTGTACAGTCATTTGTGGTATGTTTAGAAGGGTACAATCATTTGTGGTATGTTTAGAAGGGTACAGTCATTTGTGGTATGTTAGAAGGGTACAGTCATTTGTGGTATGTTTAGAAGGGTACAGTCATTTGTGGTATGTTTAGAAGGGTACAATCATTTGTGGTATGTTTAGAAGGGTACAGTCATTTGTGGTATGTTTAGAAGGGTACAGTCATTTGTGGTATGTTTAGAAGTGTACAGTCATTTGTGGTATGTTTAGAAGGGTACAGTCATTTGTGGTATGTTTAGAAGGGTACAGTCATTTGTGGTATGTTTAGAAGGGTACAGTCATTTGTGGTATGTTAGAAGGGTACAATCATTTGTGATACGTTTATAGGGGAACAGTTATTTGTGATACATTTAGAGGAGTACAGTCATTTGTGGAACGTTTAGAAGAGTACACTCATTTGTGGTATGATTAAAAGGGGTACAATTATATTTATTGTTTAACTTTATCTATTACAAGTATGTGTGAGTGTGTGTGTGTGTGTGATGTGTGTGTGTGACATGTGTGTGTGTATTCATCTAGTTGTGCTTGCGGGGTTGAATGCTGCTCTTTCGGCCCGCCTCTCAACTGTCAATCAATAAAACTGTTACAACTATTAACTAACTTTCCCTCCCCCCGACAAACTCCCACCTAGGCAGCAGCCCGTAACAGCTGTCTAACTTCCAGCTACCTATTTACTGCTAGGTAACAGGAGCAATAGGGTGAAAGAAACTCTGCCCATCTGTTTCCTCTGGTGCCAGGAATCGAACCCCGGACCATAGGACTACGTATTCAGCATGCTGTCCAATCAGCCACCAGCGCCCAAATGTGCATGTGATATGTGTGTGTGTGTGTGTGTGTCTGTGTGTGTGTGTGTGTGTGTGTGTGTGTGTGTGTGTGTGTGTGTGTGTGTGTGTGTGTGTGTGTGTGTGTGTGTGTGTGTGTGTGTGTGTGTGTGTGTGTGTGTGTGTGTGTGTGTGTGTGTGTGTGTGTGTGTGTGTGTGTGTGTGTGTAAAATAGGACATATAAAAAATTAATGTCCAATCGTTCACAAATGAATAAAGTGTCATGATTCATTAATTACATCATATTTAATTTATAATGATATACAGTTCATTATATCTCTAATAAATCAACAATAAGAATAGTGATAGGAAAGGAATACATGTATAATAAAGAACAGTTTCACTTAGTGCAACAGCAAGCTCATGCAAGCGTCCCCACCAAGACATCTCGGTCTCAACCCGTCCTCAGATCAAGTTCATTCCATTCAGCGGTCGACCCCAAAGACGCATTCATTAAATTTAACATGCTGTTCCTTCAAAATAGGAATTTTCTCAAATATAAATTAATATTGTTAAATATTAGCATATTGTGCATATTTAGGCACTGGTTAGGTTAGATTAGGTGTTTAGGTTCTGTTGGCGATTATTTGTATTTGTTATAAGAGGGCGAAGCATTTACCGCGTTGGGGTTCGAACAAAAGTCGTCACCAAAAGCAATTGCTCTGGAAATGTTCGAACGTAATCAGTTGTGAGTCGTGTGTAAGCCGCTTTTCATTCATAATCAGCTGGGGTTTGGCGGGTGCATGCAATCATTCTTGGCCTTTTTTTATAGGACGGGCTGCTTGTTAGGCAGACAAGGGCCGCGGCTCCACATGACAACGTTCAAACTGCATTTAGTTCTTTGTAATGGGCCGAGGGTCCAAGTTTTATAAAGCTGCTGCTAATCTTGGAAGAGGAGGCGAATGAAAGGGGAAGAACAATCAGGGGAAAGCGCCAAGCCACTACAAATATGTGGCACTCGGAAGGGGTCAGGATAAGGATTTGGGGTGGGATGGGGGAAGTAATGGTGCCCAACTTCTTGGTCTGCCGGGGATTGAATGCTGACCTGCATGAAGCGAGATCGTCGCTCAACCGTTCAGCCCAAGTGGTTGGGCAAGGGACGGGAAACGAGTATAGGCTACATGCTCCACTTACACCCAAGCCTCTCATACGTAACAACAAAGTAAACGACGGATGCTTATAGCTGAGGAAAAGTGAAGGAGAGGAGAGAGAGTTAGGGGTGTGCTCACCTTTCCCGGCCTGGCATGCCACGCCTCCGCCTGTGCAAGGTAAAAACAGCTCATCAGGAGAATGCCAGCTGGTGTGCGGGTGTTGTCGAGGACAACACAGCACAGCAGGAGAATGCCAGCTGGTGTGCGGGTGTTGTCGAGGACAACACAGCACAGCAGGAGAATGCCAGCTGGTGTGCGGGTGTTGTCGAGGACAACACAGCACAGCAGGAGAATGCCAGTTTTTGTATTTATTTATATATACAAGAGTTCTTACATTCTTGTATAGCCACTAGCACGCGTAGCGTTTCGGGCAGGTCCTTAATCCTAATGCTCCCCGGAATACGACCCGCCAAATCGTTTAACAACCAGGTACCCATTTTACTGTTGGGTAAACAGTCTACAGTTAAAGATTGCCCCCAGTAAATCCTCCACGGCCAGGATACAAATACCACGACAGAGCGCTCGCAAAATACCAGGCGAGCGTCTTACCACTACGCCACGCGGACAGCTGGTGCGTATGTGTTGAAGAGTACAACACACCTTTGGAAAGCAATACAAAGAAAATTATAAAAAAAATGAGCTAAAGATATGGAGTGACACGTGATTTCGGTTATTGCTGTTGTAATAGCCCGTGTTACTTAGAACTTTTTGTTCCAAGTAGCGAATCTTTAACACCAATAACATGCTGCTGTATAGAAGACGAGGTGTTGTAGCCACATGCAGCTAGCTGGGTGTTCTCCAGCATAATATAGAAGACGAGGTGTTGTAGCCACATGTAGCTAGCTGGGTGTTCTCCAGCACAATATAGAAGACGAGGTGTTGTAGCCACATGTAGCTAGCTGGGTGTTCTCCAGCACAATATAGAAGACGAGGTGTTGTAGCCACATGTAGCTAGCTGGGTATTCTCCAGCACAATATAGAAGACGAGGTGTTGTAGCCACATGTAGCTAGCTGGGTGTTCTCCAGCACAATAAAGAAGACGAGGTGTTGTAGCCACATGTAGCTAGCTGGGTGTTCTCCAGCACAATATAGAAGACGAGGTGTTGTAGCCACATGTAGCTAGCTGGGTGTTCTCCAGCACAATATAGAAGACGAGGTGTTGTAGCCACATGTAGCTAGCTGGGTGTTCTCCAGCACAATATAGAAGACGAGGTGTTGTAGCCACATGTAGCTAGCTGGGTGTTCTCCAGCACAATATAGAAGACGAGGTGTTGTAGCCACATGTAGCTAGCTGGGTGTTCTCCAGCACAATATAACGTCTTGACTAAGCTCAGACTGCAACAAGATGTCTGCTCTACACTTACATTTCTTCTCCTTCCACCCGCCTCAACTCTTCACCCGCGGCCCCACCTCTCATTCACATTCATCTCCACCTTACACGAACCCTCTGAGATAAGACAACTATATTTGAGTTGCAAATAAACGAAATACCAGATCATGGCTGAAAGTTCGGTTGTCAGTCAGCGACGAGACTGTTCAATAGTCATCATTCCCAAGTCACACCTTTACAGTGTAATGAGCGTTCTGACGGGTTAACAATAGATGAACACACAGACGCGTCTCTGTGGGACACACTAATAGATGATACACTTAACGACGTCATTTCTCCATCTTCTAATGTGTGGTTTGGTCATCATATCTTCAGCCACGTTATTGTGACTCCTCGTCTGCACAAAATACAGGCCGTGCCAATTAGCTAACAAAAGATTGTTTTTAACTTAATTAATATTCCTTGTTTAATGTCAAGGATTATATATACATATATATATATATATATATATATATATATATATATATATATATATATATATATATATATATATATATATATATACATATATATATGACTGAAAACTCACACCCCAGAAGTGACTCGAACCCATACTACCAGGAGCAACGCAACTGGTATCTACAGGACGCCTTAATCCGCTTGACCATCACGACCGGACATAAGGAAGTGATAGCCGAAGCTATTTGAACCACGTCCCCGCCGGCACTCGGATGGTAATCTTGGGCATAGCATTTTATCAAATCACCTCATGTCGTGATGGTCAAGCGGATTAAGGCGTCCTGTAGATACCAGTTGCGTTGCTCCTGGTAGTATGGGTTCGAGTCACTTCTGGGGTGTGAGTTTTCAGTCGAATATAGTCCGGGGGACCATTCAGGCTTATTCGCATATATATATATATATATATATATATATATATATATATATATATATATATATATATATATATATGTTGTTGAATATGACCAAAAGGGTAAGACTAAAAATTTTAACACGAATCAATGGGTATAAATTGGGTATGAAAACATTAGAATGGAAGTAACAACAGAAGGTCTATTGGCCCATACTTTCTCTTGCTGCTTCTATGTTGGTTCGGGGTCTTGAAGTGGGTAGAATATAGTTATACGTTAATTGGCTGTTGATTGCTGGTGTTGACATTTTGATGTGTAGTGTCTCGCTGATGTCGAGTCTCCTACATCCCAGCTGTATCTATCGATGATTTCTGTGTTGCTTGTTAAGATTTCTCTGGTGATGGTCTGGTTGTGAGAAGAGATTATATGTTCCTTGATGGAGCCCAGTTGATTGTGCATTGTTAATTGCCTAGAAAGATACGTTGTTGTCTTGTCTATATTCTGAGTTCATCGGGGCTTATAGTCCCCCAAGTGGGTATGGGAAGGCATAGACGACGTTGGTTTCCTTCAAGGCGTTCTGTTTGGTGTCTGGGGAGTTTTCATGAGTAGGTTGGCCGTTTTTTGTTTTTGTAGTAAATTGTCATTTGTATTTTCTGATTTTTGTCTGTAGGGATAACCTATGGACAAAAATAGGGATAACCTACAGATTCCTATTAATAATATCTTTCAGGACACTTTCCTCCTTTTAATGAGCCGTCGAAAAGAAGTTCCTGTAAAACATTTTAATAGGGAGAACAAGTGTTGTGCTAGTTGACTCTTCAGAGATTGCATGGCGTTTCACCTTTCTTTTTATGACGTCTTTAACATAACCGTTAGAGAAGCCATTGTTGACTAGGACCTGCCTTACCCTACAGAGTTCTTCACCGACTTGCTTTCATCCTGAGCTGTGACTGAGAGCCCGGTCGATGTAAGCATTGACAACATTCCTCTTGTACCTGTCTGGGCAGTCACTATTGGCATTGAGGCACATTCTTATGTTTGTTTCCTTAGTGTAGACAGCAGTGCGGAAGCCTCCGTTTCTTTCCGTGACTGTTAAATCTAGAAAGGGCAGCTTCCCATCATTCTCCATCTCGTAAGTGAAACTTAATACAGAATTCTGCTCAAATGCCTCCTTCAGCTGCTGCAGACGTCTGACATCAGGTACCTGCGTAAAAATATCTTCAACATACCTGCAGTATATGGCGGGTTTCAAGTCCATGTCTACTAAGACCCTCTGCTCTATGGTACCCATGTAGAAGTTTGCAAACAGGACACTTAGGGGAGAACCCATGGTGACCCCATCTACTTGCTTATACATGTGCCCATCTGGACTCAATAAGAGTGTCTCTTTAGTGCAGGCTTGGAGTAGCTTTCTTAGTATGTTTTATGTCAAGAGGAGTACAAGCTGGACCACGATACACTCTGTCCATTATCATCCCGATTGTTTCATCCACAGGTACGTTAGTTAACAGCGCCTCAACATCCAAAGATTCTCTTATCCCTGTAGCCATATTACAGGCAGGCGTGTAGCTGACTATGGCAACACTGCGTCGCTCCACAATCCTGTTACAGGCAGGCGTGGAGCTGACTGTGGCAACGCTGCGGCCCTCCATAAGGTCTGACTATGACTGACGACTTAACAGACTCAAAATAAACAAGGGAATAACTAGATGTGGTCACAACACCCTTGGCAGTGTAGGAGAGATGCCACAGATTACTCTACATAAGCAGTAGTGACTGAGAGGCTGAGGTTAATACACCATCCCAGCAAACATGACCATGCAATGATGTGTTTTAATTGACCCTGTTAGTTAATATTAATAAGTATCAAGGCAAGTTGGACACAAAGAATACACCAAAGTGTAAACTATGTTTGTTGTTCTACATTAATATTTTACATTCTTCTTGCCAGCGCCCATCCCAGCACATGTTCAATGGAACTGTTGATATACTCACTCCTTGCAGTTGTATGATATAGTCCTCTTAAGGAGGCGTGGCTGAGGGCTGGCGTCGGAGGCGGCTGACATGGTCATAAGCACAGAGAAGATAACTTAACCCCTTGTGATCAACAGTAGGCTACAACACTAGCCGTACACTCCACAACACCAATAATATCTGTTCCTACAGACACAATAGCTGCTCCTCCAGAGACAATAGCTGCTCCTCCAGAGACAATAGCTGCTCCTCCAGAGACAATAGCTGCTCCTCCAGAGACAATAGCTGCTCCTCCAGAGACAACAGCTGCTCCTCCAGAGACAATAGGTGCTCCTCCAGAGACAATAGCTGCTCCTCCAGAGACAATAGCTGCTCCTCCAGAGACAATAGCTGCTCCTCCAGAGACAATAGGTGCTCCTCCAGAGACAATAGCTGCTCCTCCAGAGACAATAGCTGCTCCTCCAGAGACAATAGCTGCTCCTGGAGAGAGAGTGCACGGGAAGGTGTCTTGAGATGACTAAAGATCCAACACGACGTATCAGTAACGTGTCACGTGTGTGTTCCTGTCAGAAGGAGCACCGGACGAGCGGAGAATGTTCTTAACACAAGAGTGGACACAGAGCAGACTGGCATCGAGTCTGGTGTAGTTGGAGGTGCCGTCAGCACACGTGACTGGCACACTGCCCGACCACTCCAGCACTACATAATACAGCTGGCCCTAGCCACACCCACCACCCATTATTAGCCAACAACCTCACCTCACATTATTATACGTCTTCTTCCTCCTCGCCACTCTGCAGGGATGCTGCTCCTATATCAAGACACACACTAACCGCAACAGTCTATATAGACTATACATAAATAGTATCATCCAAAACCGAGGAATTGTCATATATATATGAATGGCATATAAACGATGAGAGCTACGTTCGTGG